TCTCATTTAGCCCACTTAAAAAGGACTGGGGTCTACATATCCACACCCAGGTCCAACCTGGGCGTGGATATGTACTGACCACACTGAACCCACAGTGGGTTCAGTGTGGTCAGCCCACATGGTCTCCCCATGTTGGGCCCATGATACTGAAACCACATGGGCCCCACATAGTTTTGCCCAGTTCTATCCCATTCCCAGTTAGCCCACTTATAAAAGGACTGGGGCCTACATATCCACACCCAGGTCTAACCCATATATGGTCAGCCCATGCTGATGTCATGTGGGTTCAATGTGGTCAGCCCACATGGGCTTCCCATGTTGGGCCCATGATACTAGAACCACATGGGCCCCACATACTGTTGCCCAGTACTATCCCATTCCCAGATAGCCCACTTAAAAAAGGACTGGGCCCACATATCCACACCCAGGTCTAACCCATATATGGTCAGCCCATGCTGATGTCATGTGGGTTCAATGTGGTCAGCCCACATGGGCTTCCCATGTTGGGCCCATGAAACTAGAACCACATGGGCCCCACATACTGTTGCCCAGTACTATCCCATTCCCAGATAGCCCACTTAAAAAAGGACTGGGGCCCACATATCCACACCCAGGTCTAACCCATATATGGTCAGCCCATGCTGATGTCATGTGGGTTCAATGTGGTCAGCCCACATGGGCTTCCCATGTTGGGCCCATGAAACTAGAGCCACATGGGCCCCACATACTGTTGCCCAGTACTATCCCATTCCCAGATAGCCCACTTAAAAAAGGACTGGGGCCCACATATCCACACCCAGGTCTAACCCATATATGGTCAGCCCATGCTGATGTCATGTGGGTTCAATGTGGTCTGCCCACATGGGCTTCCCATGTTGGGCCCATGAAACTAGAACCACATGGGCCCCACATACTGTTGCCCAGTACTATCCCATTCCCAGATAGCCCACTTAAAAAAGGACTGGGGCCCACATATCCACACCCAGGTCTAACCCATATATGGTCAGCCCATGCTGATGTCATGTGGGTTCAATGTGGTCAGCCCACATGGGCTTCCCATGTTGGGCCCATGATACTAGAACCACATGGGCCCCACATACTGTTGCCCAGTACTATCCCATTCCCAGATAGCCCACTTAAAAAAGGACTGGGGCCTCCATATCCACACCCAGGTCTAACCCATATAAGGTCAGCCCATGCTGATGTCATGTGGGTTCCATGTGGTCTGCCCACATGGGCTTCCCATGTTGGGCCCATAATACTGAAACCACATGGGCCCCATATAGTGTTGCCCGTTTCTATCCCATTCCCAGATAGCCCACTTAAAAAAGGACTGGGGCCCACATATCCACACCCATGTCTAACCCATATATGGTCAGCCCATGCTGATGTCATGTGGGTTCCATGTGGTCTGCCCACATGGGCTTCCCATGTTGGGCCCATAATACTGAAACCACATGGGCCCCATATAGTGTTGCCCGTTTCTATCCCATTCCCAGATAGCCCACTTAAAAAAGGACTGGGGCCTACATATCCACACCCAGGTCTAACCCATATATGGTCAGCCCATGCTGATGTCATGTGGGTTCAATGTGGTCAGCCCACATGGGCTTCCCATGTTGGGCCCATGATACTGAAACCACATGGGCCCCATATAGTGTTGCCCAGTACTATCCCATTCCCAGATAGCCCACCTAGTTGCTGAATAGGGCCCATGCATTTAGCCCATATGGGCCAGCCCATATGGGTCTCATTTTAGGTTAACCATATGTGTCCCATGCAGTTCGCCCAGATAAAACCCATGCCCACTCATTACCCATGTAGCCCACATCAAACACAAGTGGGGCCCACTCATGCGTGCTGGCTGGGACATGGGCTTCCCATGTTGGGCCCATGATACTAGAACCACATGGGCCCCACATACTGTTGCCCAGTACTATCCCATTCCCAGATAGCCCACTTAAAAAAGGACTGGGGCCTCCATATCCACACCCAGGTCTAACCCATATAAGGTCAGCCCATGCTGATGTCATGTGGGTTCAATGTGGTCTGCCCACATGGGCTTCCCATGTTGGGCCCATGATACTGAAACCACATGGGCCCCATATACTGTTGCCCAGTACTATCCCATTCCCAGATAGCCCACTTAAAAAAGGACTGGGGCCTACATATCCACACCCAGGTCTAACCCATATATGGTCAGCCCATGCTGATGTCATGTGGGTTCAATGTGGTCTGCCCACATGGGCTTCCCATGTTGGGCCCATGATACTAGAACCACATGGGCCCCACATACTGTTGCCCAGTACTATCCCATTCCCAGATAGCCCACTTAAAAAAGGACTGGGGCCCACATATCCACACCCAGGTCTAACCCATATATGGTCAGCGCATGCTGATGTCATGTGGGTTCAATGTGGTCAGCCCACATGGGCTTCCCATGTTGGGCCCATGATACTAGAACCACATGGGCCCCACATACTGTTGCCCAGTACTATCCCATTCCCAGATAGCCCACTTAAAAAAGGACTGGGGCCCACATATCCACACCCAGGTCTAACCCATATATGGTCAGCCCATGCTGATGTCATGTGGGTTCAATGTGGTCAGCCCACATGGGCTTCCCATGTTGGGCCCATGAAACTAGAACCACATGGGCCCCACATACTGTTGCCCAGTACTATCCCATTCCCAGATAGCCCACTTAAAAAGGACTGGGGCCCACATATCCACACCCAGGTCTAACCCATATATGGTCAGCCCATGCTGATGTCATGTGGGTTCAATGTGGTCAGCCCACATGGGCTTCCCATGTTGGGCCCATGAAACTAGAGCCACATGGGCCCCACATACTGTTGCCCAGTACTATCCCATTCCCAGATAGCCCACTTAAAAAAGGACTGGGGCCCACATATCCACACCCAGGTCTAACCCATATATGGTCAGCCCATGCTGATGTCATGTGGGTTCAATGTGGTCTGCCCACATGGGCTTCCCATGTTGGGCCCATGAAACTAGAACCACATGGGCCCCACATACTGTTGCCCAGTACTATCCCATTCCCAGATAGCCCACTTAAAAAAGGACTGGGGCCCACATATCCACACCCAGGTCTAACCCATATATGGTCAGCCCATGCTGATGTCATGTGGGTTCAATGTGGTCATCCCACATGGGCTTCCCATGTTGGGCCCATGATACTAGAACCACATGGGCCCCACATACTGTTGCCCAGTACTATCCCATTCCCAGATAGCCCACTTAAAAAAGGACTGGGGCCTCCATATCCACACCCAGGTCTAACCCATATAAGGTCAGCCCATGCTGATGTCATGTGGGTTCCATGTGGTCTGCCCACATGGGCTTCCCATGTTGGGCCCATAATACTGAAACCACATGGGCCCCATATAGTGTTGCCCGTTTCTATCCCATTCCCAGATAGCCCACTTAAAAAAGGACTGGGGCCCACATATCCACACCCAGGTCTAACCCATATATGGTCAGCCCATGCTGATGTCATGTGGGTTCAATGTGGTCTGCCCACATGGGCTTCCCATGTTGGGCCCATGATACTGAAACCACATGGGCCCCATATAGTGTTGCCCAGTACTATCCCATTCCCAGATAGCCCACCTAGTTGCTGAATAGGGCCCATGCATTTAGCCCATATGGGCCAGCCCATATGGGTCTCATTTTAGGTTAACCATATGTGTCCCATGCAGTTCGCCCAGATAAAACCCATGCCCACTCATTACCCATGTAGCCCACATCAAACACAAGTGGGGCCCACTCATGCGTGCTGGCTGGGACATGGGCTTCCCATGTTGGGCCCATGATACTAGAACCACATGGGCCCCACATACTGTTGCCCAGTACTATCCCATTCCCAGATAGCCCACTTAAAAAAGGACTGGGGCCCACATATCCACACCCAGGTCTAACCCATATATGGTCAGCCCATGCTGATGTCATGTGGGTTCAATGTGGTCAGCCCACATGGGCTTCCCATGTTGGGCCCATGAAACTAGAACCACATGGGCCCCACATACTGTTGCCCAGTACTATCCCATTCCCAGATAGCCCACTTAAAAAAGGACTGGGGCCCACATATCCACACCCAGGTCTAACCCATATATGGTCAGCCCATGCTGATGTCATGTGGGTTCAATGTGGTCATCCCACATGGGCTTCCCATGTTGGGCCCATGATACTAGAACCACATGGGCCCCACATACTGTTGCCCAGTACTATCCCATTCCCAGATAGCCCACTTAAAAAAGGACTGGGGCCTCCATATCCACACCCAGGTCTAACCCATATAAGGTCAGCCCATGCTGATGTCATGTGGGTTCCATGTGGTCTGCCCACATGGGCTTCCCATGTTGGGCCCATAATACTGAAACCACATGGGCCCCATATAGTGTTGCCCGTTTCTATCCCATTCCCAGATAGCCCACTTAAAAAAGGACTGGGGCCCACATATCCACACCCAGGTCTAACCCATATATGGTCAGCCCATGCTGATGTCATGTGGTTCAATGTGGTCTGCCCACATGGGCTTCCCATGTTGGGCCCATGATACTGAAACCACATGGGCCCCATATAGTGTTGCCCAGTACTATCCCATTCCCAGATAGCCCACCTAGTTGCTGAATAGGGCCCATGCATTTAGCCCATATGGGCCAGCCCATATGGGTCTCATTTTAGGTTAACCATATGTGTCCCATGCAGTTCGCCCAGATAAAACCCATGCCCACTCATTACCCATGTAGCCCACATCAAACACAAGTGGGGCCCACTCATGCGTGCTGGCTGGGATGTAGCAGCAGTAGGGAGTAAGCAGGTTTAAGAACAGAAAAGAACAAAATAAAGCACTCAAGGGAAAAGATGTTCAGTATTATAAAAATGAATGATGTATGAATTTTATTTTTCATTCTTGCACCTGGATTGGAGGAAACACAGGCAGACTTAATTGAACGCAATAAAATTGTTTCTTGAAGGATGGAGACTTTCTCAAGATCACAGATTCTGCAGGACTTTAATTTTCAATGCAGCAAACTGGCATCCAACAACAACCGAGGGTTCAAGCAGGCCTTTAGGGTAATCACTACAATGATAAACAACACTTACATCAGAGTTATGGTTTATAAAACGTGCATTATCTGTTTCAATGGTGCTGACTCTCAGCAGGAGCTGAATGATGTTGGGAAAGATCTCCCCAGTATAGCCGGCAGCTTGGAGGCCAACAGAGAAAAAAACCGATACCCTTGCATTTTGCCATGTGAGTGGACAGCATTTCACGTTACTTCCAGTTACAATAAGCGTGTCTGTAAATATTTGATATGTTCTTTGTTGTTTTGTTTTTTTTGTCCCATCTTATTGCAGATGATCACTGTCGGGTGAGGCTTTCAGTTCAAAACCAAAACCCATATTCTGATTACATCAACGCAAATTTTGTCCCCGTAAGAGCTCTGTCTCGTTTTCATTCTTTGTTTGAGGTTGTGTCACTTTTCCCATATCTTCATCTTCACTGGGGTTCCGTCATCACTTTACATATATGTTTGTCTGCATTTAGGGTGGGGGATCAGAAAGAGACTTCATATGCACCCAAGGTCCAATATCCAACACTTTAGCCGACTTCTGGAGGATGATCTGGGAGCAAAATGTCAGGATAATCATCATGGTGACTGCTCTCAGAGAAAAGAACACAGTGAGATGCTTGTTTGCTTCTACCTCAGGGACATGCTAACTGGTTAACTTAACCATGGCCAAATTCAAAAAGCACAAGGAAAACCACAATTTGTTCGTCAAAAACAAAAAGGAAATCAACAAAAACATGGTTTTAGGTATTTTAGCAGAAATTCAAACCTGAAACAATCTGTTGGGGGCAGTAATTATGTGATGAAGTGATGCAGCAGCATCACTTCAGGAAACACTCGCTTGTGTTTTCTGGTTGCCTGCCTCTGTCCTAACTCAATCTCCCGAGGCTAACAAGTTGCACCATCATCATGATTGCAAAGTCCTGCAACCATGAAAGGAGCAAAAGAAAAGACCCAGACAAAAACAATCTGTGATCCACATTTGAATCTGTAAATGTATCCCATTTTGATCATCCTAGGCACAAAAAAAAGGAACACCGTTTGCACCTTAAAAATATTACGAATCAGTTTGTGTTCCTCAAATTATTTAAATCTCATTTGAACTAAACATGTACTCTGTTAATGAGGAAATAAAGCCAAAATTCAAAGGCTGTTAAAAAGTGTCCCTTAATGCAATAGCATGTGTATCAATGACCTGAAATTGGTGTTTTATTAAAGACATATTCAGTCTCAATCTTTCTCATCTTGATGCTGTACTATTTTAGTCATTCTGGTGTAGATTTGCTGCAGTCTTTGAAATGATTGCCAGTTTGGGGAAATATCTAGTTATCAGTCAGATTTGACTCTATCACATATTTACTATACAGAGGAGATCATGGTCAACTCAAAGCACCCAGCCAATGCCTGTGGGTACAAAACAAGACCAAATCATCACCCCTCACATGTGCTTCCCAGGTTTAAGCTGTACGTTTATACTAGGCTTAATTACAAACTTGAGCCAAATTCATTTCTACATGGAAGAGTTTTCCATGTAAAAACAGCCTGTTGCAACTATTTTAAGCAAGCCATACTTGTCTGTTTCCAATTTTATCTTTATTAACTTTAACATGTAGCATGGAAACTTAAGCAGTGGTCTGCAACCTGCAACTCTGGAGTTGTGTGTGGCTCTTAATCAATAAGAATAAAAAATGTAATTAAGAATTTTGGACAAAAATGCAAAAGAATTGAATGTTTTGAAATGTAAATGTAATTTAAAAAAAAGATGCTTTCCAGACATTTCATAAAATGAAAATGTTATGGAACATTTAAATAGAAAAGTAAAAGTTTGTTTGCTTCTTTATTTATTTATTTTGCAAAATGTACTTTTCTAAATTAATTTTCTTTAAAAACTGAATCTCTGAAGAAAAATGTTTTAAACCTAAAACCTAAAGTAAACTTGTTATTCTGACAATTGAAGATCTGTTATCCATTATTAAAAGAAGCTATTCGGTTCATTGAGTTATGTTCCTTTTTTTTGGCTTTAAAATTGCCTTCATTGAACCTTAAAAAGGGTGCACATAATTTTTGCTCCAACTGTGCTACGTGATTGACTGCGCCTCCTGTGTGTGCAGGTACTGTGTGAGAAGTACTGGCCTCTGGAAGAAGGGACAGTTTATCATGGGCTGTTCCAAATCACGACAGTGACTCGGAAACAGGGTCCAGATTATTTTGTTACTACCATTAACCTGCGACAGGTAAGAAAAATGCCTGCTCTTCCTTTTCCCTTTAAACTGACTTCTTTTTACTTTATAGGCAGATCAAATGTTTGTTTTTTCAGAGGGACCTGCCAAACAACAGAATAATCACTCATTACTACTACCCGTCGTGGCCGGATCAGAGAGTCCCAAACCCATTTTCTCTGTGTGCCTTCACTGAGCATGTGCGGCAGCATTTGGAGGCTCTACCCTGCCTGGGGCCAGCTGTGGTGCACTGCAGGTGTGATTTCCGGATTTAACATCTTCTACTTCAATAAATGTAAGGTCTGGAATCAATTTTGTTTCACTCTGACAGTTTTGTTGCGCGACTTTTGTGGTTCAGTGCAGGCATTGGCCGGTCGGGGACGTTTGTGACTTTGTTGTGGCTGATGCAGCTGAGCATGAGAGGGATCCCACCTGACATCAAAGGTGCTGTGAGGGACCTGCGGCTGCATCGGATGTCGATGGTCCAGACACTTGTAAGTCTTCACTGAACGTCACTTAAATACACAGCTAAAATAATATTTTAAAGCAATAATAACTCAGTTTATTTATATAGCACCAATTCACAACAAATATTCTGTCTAGACACTTTAAAAGGCAAGCAGGTCTGATTTATATCCAGTTAAACAGATTCTAGTTAGGTCCAAACTCAAATAGATATCCAAGGAAACCAAGGCAATCGAGTCAAACTGGTGCTTTAGCAACAGTCCCTCAACTTAGCAAGCAAGAGGCGAGCGACTGTCAAGAGAAACCTTTGGCTGAATAGTAAACATGTCAAAATCTTAATACCACAGAATACTTTCTATAAATATTGTGAACAAGCTTTCAATGTAAGGTGTTCAGCAAATAGAAAGCATCATTCAGATTAGGTTTGACCGAGCGCCGCACACCTTTATTATTCACTTACCAGCTATTTCGCTGAAGATGTGCCTGATGCAACAACTACAACCTTGAACAGATGCGAATTCAATCAAAGAGTGAGCTTCACAAGGCATCACAGATTATATCCGAGACACAAATCGCTACTTTTGCATTTCTTGTGTTAAACCAATCCTGAGCCAAAGACAATGAGAGAGGTCTTACCTGGCCTTAGGAGATAAAGAATCGGACAGTTTAGAGGAAGAGTGCAGAGAGACAGAATCCAAGATGCTTTGGGCACATCGCAAAATTTCCAAAGTTGGGGAATATTTACGGAGCTACATGACATGCAATGCAATCACCTCCCACAGACTTTTGGAAAGAATGCCTCTTTGCAGACAAGTTTTATGGATATCGATTTTATTTTCCAGCAGGACTTCACATCTGCCCCCAACTACCAAAGACCATGTGCTCAATTGGCCAGTTTTTCTATTCTTACCTGAATCCCACAGTAAATCTGTTGAGTATTGTCAAGAAGAGAAACAAACACTTGACCAAACGACAGAGATAGGCTGAAGGCTAGAAGCTGGACTTACTTACGACCTCAGCAATGACACAGGCTGAGTCCATGCCACACTTCACAATTTATGCAAACAGTTCCCCGATTAAGTACTATGCATAAATCTGATTGTATGTAGATACTTTTTGGTAGGCAGACATTTATGCATCAAAAAATTGTTTTTAATTTATTTATGTCCTATTCATGTTGTTAGAAACGGAATATTTCATTAACTATAAGTTCTAATCATCAAAATGAGTAAATGATCACCAGAAATATAGCAGAAACTAATCAACATAGTTTAAAAAAAATTGGATGACTAACCTTACCGGGAGGCATAATGGAGCTACTTACTATAGACTGTGTACTTCACTGACTCATGCCATCCAAACAAAACAAAGCCATTTCGTAACCTGTTCATTTCTTTGTGTGTATTCAGGACCAGTACATATTTATTCATCACTGTCTGCTGCAATGGCTCAGTGGAGGAGCATCAGCAAGGTAGGGATGCAGAAATAAGTTACCACTGCACACAGGAAGACAGTAGCCTACTATGAGGCAACCCATAAAGACAGAATGAGACATCTCCTCTTTCTCAGCAGGCAACAGATGCAGGTACCGGGTTTGAATTCTAACCATCACAAGAAGGATCAACCTCAGAGCTCACGGAGGAGGAGGCGACACAGCTCTCAACAGAAACCTCCAGCAGATCAACCCCAGAACACACTGCAACAGATTTTTAAACCTGGGAACCTACTGAGGAGGTTAATACCCTCCTTATCACAGATGAATCCGGACTCACAAAATGCCTGAAGATATCCTCTGAAAAAAGGCATGGAGGAACTGATAACCATCTCATTGGATGTAAAAAGGGGGTTCTTGATGCTGAGTTATACAAGCGTAGGCAATGACTGCAACGCTGTGTATGCAGTGTGAGGAGAGGCCCCGGAGGCACAGAACTGCCCTGGCAACATGCAGATAAATGCTTTTAACAAAGACACAGCAGTTTGTACTGTAACCAGGAGGAAGAACTGAGGGAATAATTCATCAGGTTAAACCTGTTATTCTGCAAATCACTTCTGATTCATGAGAAAAGGAGGCTGCGTGAAGTAAAAATACTGCAGGCAGAGGCTTTTTATCAGCTCACCAACAAAAAACCTTTTATGATGAGCAAAGAGTCCAGGTGGGAGCGGCGAGAGAGCTAATTATTTACCTTAACTGGTGACAAAGACTGCTGAGATGTATTTTATTAACAACTGTTGGGAAAAAAAATGTCCACTGTGTATTTCTTCCATGATACACAATCAAGTCTATCAGGGTGCAGAGGTGACAACAGAAAAGCAGACACACAATGTAGTGGCTGTACAAAAAAGGTCATGTTTGAAAAACACACAGGCACTGCCATTCTCCTTAAATGACTGAATCCCATTACAGTTCATGGAGAAACTACTGGAACTATACATTATAGAACATGTAGGACTAACCCACTTTAAGTCTTTTATGGAGTACAGTGGACATGATACATTAGATCCCTTTTTAGTCTTTGTGTTTGATGTCCTCAAGAGAAAAAGGATTCAGCAGACGTCAGCGTCCAAGTCCTCCCTTTGCCACACTTTCACCCTGTGGCAAATGCTATTAGCTGGATTGGGCGGTGCCAGCATGTTGCAATCAAATCCATGGAAGATTTAACTACTAATGTGATTCAATACCGCCAAGCTCCAACAGAGGGTGCTCTTAAGCAGGTAACCTCAAAAGCTCAGTATCTCCAAATAAGTAGGCTCAACCCAAACAAAATGATATCAGAAAAGAAAATGTATATAACTTAAAAGACTTTTTCATACCTAGTTTGTCTTTTTTAATACAGACATTCACTGTGAGACTCAACAGTGACCAAGGCAGACAAAGGAATATAACAACAAATAGGAAAAGGAAAAGCAGCATAGTGTAGGCCAACCATGGTGACAATTGGAAATATATTACAGATTAAAACGGGTAAGAAAATTAACATTTATATCAGACTGTTGGTGAAGTGAACCAACAGTTAAAATAACTTTTAAATTAGCGTTTAGGTCCACTAAAAGATTATTAGACTCTGTATCCTTTGGCCATAACAAAGACAAAAAAGGAGACTGTCTCAATGAAACAAATCTCCCTATATATTGATTTTTTAAGTGTATTTACAGTTCATGTCCACGGTAGGCCAGCATGTGATATAAACAGATACATGCCACCCCAAAAGAAAAGAAAATGAGGAGAGTGAGAAGAGCAAACTACTCATGACGAGCTATCAAAGGCTGGGTGATGAAAACAGGAGGAGTCCCTTCTGTTTTTACTTCTCTTTCAAGTCCAACTAGTGCACGCTCTCCGACATGTTAAGCGCTTCCTGGATTTCACGGACAACAAGGATTCGGGCGAGCATCTGCTCCAAGTGCTCCCGGGGGATTGGTTGTGTTGAGTACCAAATGGGACTGTTTGGAGCCACCACGGGCTCCGGGGTCAAGTAGAAGGTGTCGTTACGGCCTTTAGCACTCTGAGGACTGTACAAAGACACAACGGATACAGGAGTGAGGATATTTTATGGGTGTACTTATTAAATGTCAAAAATTTCAGTCTCCCAACACAAATTGAAAAAAAGAAAAAAACGGTTCGTAGTAGGAACAGAAAGACATGAGGAGGGAGGCCTTGATTTCATAGATTAGTATCCATCTTTCAGCTACTGCAGATATGTCTTAAATCTCTCAACGACATTTATATGAATCAAACTAAGCACAATCAATCTGCTATGTACGAGAAACAGGTGATTTTCCCTCTGATCGGTGATATGCATGTAAAATCCTTAGTGACAAAACAATTTTTCTTCCCATTCATCAAATATCAAAACTAAAAACACTCATCTTACACTTCTAAATATACAATATAATTGGATGCACTGTTTGAATGCAATTAGATTAAAGGTTATAGTTATTTATACTTTAGAGCAGTGGCCCCCAACCGTTTTATTACCGCAGACTGGTCAAGACTTGGGAAGTCCTAACCGAATAAGGTTCAGATTTTTAGGGTCCAAAAAATATTCATTCTAAAAGATGGAGACGCTAGATTATTCAGCATCAATGTTTTTTTTGTTTGTTTTTTTTTCAGATTCTCAACAGCAATAATGTTGCAAATGAAGACCACTTCAGCACAGAGTGCAGCATCTTCACACTCTTTCAATTACACCAACCAGTAATTTTACTTAATCATAGCAGCTCCTCTAAGAGAAATTATATCTTAAGAAGTTGCTTCCTATTTACCATTTGAAGAGGTAGAAATCATAAAGCTTGATAGGGCAGCGCAGCGGGTTCTCAGGGTCCTCCAGCTGTTCCGAGTACATGTCATCTGTCACTAAACAAGATGAAAAACAATCATCGTTACTCTCAATGGAGAACTGCAACTCGTCATTTTGGATGTGATCCAAAAGCACAAGATATGTGCAGCTTTTTGAGGTTGTACCTCGGCAAATGAGACTAGTCAAAAACAATCAACAGTTGTGGGGGATGATGTTTGTGTGAATGCATAACAAATCTGACAAAATTCACAAATAACAGATTTATCCTTTGGGTTTAGAGCGCACATATATCTGATTACATGTGTGAGCTCTATACACATGTTCATCACAAAAGTTATTACAATAAACAATAATATTGTTTTGAGACCATTTTTAAGTGATATAATGTTAATGGCATTATGATGCAAGAACACACTTTCATTTCTAATGAATATGTAACACTAGAACTTGAAGATATCTCATATAATCAAACTGAGCAAATCAGCAACAAAAAAATTGAAATATGAAGTCTCTAAACAAAATTGTCCTTCAAGAAAAGTTGAGACCAAAGCACCAAACTGAAGACATTTTGGATTTAATCAGAAACCACAAGTACAAGTGTTTCTAGCAAAACCCTCTACCAGAAAGAGAAAACGATAAATCATGCAAATGGAAATTATTGAGCTTGCTTTAATTTATTATGCATTTTATTATTGTGCTATTCCTTATTGTGACAGGCCTACTGATTATGAGTAAACATAATAAGCAGGATTTTTACACAGTCTACAAGAGAGTACTACTGCACTTTCAAAAAGAGTGAAAATGTTTTTCTAAGGCCACTGGTCAATAGTTTGAATTGAATCATATGTAATTATAAAAGGACTTTAACATCTGTTTATCCTCTTACCTTTCTGTCCTATGAACCTCTCCGCTGACTTTAGATACCGTATGCTGGTGCTCTTGTCTTTGGGATTGTTGGGACTCTTCCTGGTATGTCTCAACACCTTTGAAAAAGCCAGTTTTAGATGCTGATCCACTGTTTTTAGGTGAAAATATCTGGAAAACAGCACAACATCAACCAATGAGGCAGACTATTAAAGACATACAGTAGACAAATGCAGACCAATCGGCATTTGATTATACATGAAGAAAATCCTTTATGTTAATGAAATGTCTGCAGAACCATCAGAATACTGGAGGGCTTTGAAACTCACTTTGTGTTGAAGAACATGAGAGTTGTGAGCAGTGTTGATGGAGAGTGAGCTCCCAGCTGTTTACACTCCCACAGCATCTCCTCTGTTACATGACTGGGAATAACATACCCTGAGGAAAGAAGTAAAGAACAGAATATGAAGAGCTGGTAGGTCTAGAAAACTGTTGCACATGCAGCTGGAACTCTTTGTCAAGGTTTGCAGGTGATTTGTAGGGAATTCATGCAGAGCAACACAGCAAATTCAAAAAATAATAAATATATGGGTATACCAAGAGGATGAACTGACGGCCTCCAGGGCTCCAAGATTAGATGAAGACAATGAGCAAAACGAGTATAGTACTGATCTGAGAAAATGTCATCAACTCGACCGTTATCAAACAGGTACTGCAGGAAGAGAGAGAAGCAGATCATCAGGGGTGCCATTAACTTCTAGTCTATTGGGTGCAGCAATGCTTAGCAGGACAAATAACCAAGCCCTAGAGTTCTATCAAAATGTCAAAATTTACTTTAGAAACTTTCATTTAGTTCTTGTATGGAAGGGAGTAAAATTTCATTTTAAGATTATTGGAACAAAATAATTATTTTTCCAACTTCAATTGTAAATTAAAAGTTTTTTTAAAAAATTTTGTGTCAACTAAAACCTGCTACAGATCAACAGAGAGTTTTGGGGATGAAAGACTGTAACTAACCTTTTGTATGCAGAGAAATACATAATAAAGAACATCTGCCTCGTATGATTCTCCTTCAAGCCCCCGAGCCTCTGCTGTCATCAGAGACAGACCCATGCAGAGCTCAGCCACGGCACACGACACCAGATCCTCCTGGAAACGAAGCGCCTGGCGTCCTGACGCAATACATAAGGAAAAATGCCAATTGAGAAAGGAACAGAAAATTCTTTACCATCCCACAATGAGAAAAGTTGTTCAGACCAGTTATTGTTTGTTAGTTTAATGCTAAGTAAAATGCATGGTCTCTCACGGCCTATTGGAGCAAGTTTGTTCTGATCCGATTTGTCCAGCTCTGCATTTTTCCTCTGAGCCCAGAGTCGCCACACGTCCAGTCCCTCCTCTGGCTTCAGGGTTGCGGGCAGCAGCAGCTCCTGCACCTGCACTTGCTGCTGACCTTGACCATCTACTTCTGCGACCACCGTCTGACCCTGACAACAGCCAATCAAAATAAATAAATAAATAATTTTCACTGAGCTGAAATGTAACACCTGCAGGATGAAAGGATGTTGTGTTCTTACCTGTAGCGGCTGTCCATCCTGCCCTGTCAGTCCCTGTGTGTGCAGCACCTGCTGCTGGGGGTCCCAGATGATGGATTGTGTGGCGTTGGAGTAGCCCTGCACAGCCACGGGAATGTGGATGTTTCCATTCATCAGCTGGGCGGGGAAGAGCGTGTTTGCGGCCAGCGTGTGAACCACTTCCTCTTGGTTGCTCATCCCGGTGGAGCTCGTTATGCTGGAAACCGCCTGCACAGTTTGACTTTGACTAGTAGGGCTCTTTAGCTTGTCGCTTTCAATAGTGACCTGGGTCGGCATTGTGGTCAATGTTGTAGTGTTTGTCCCTGCCACCTGCATCGTCCCGTAAGCTTCCTGGGGGATGGCAATGTGTGTGACCTGCTCACGGCCCCCAGACCCAGCAGGAGCAGAGTACACAGGAATGGTCCAGGTCTCCCCTGTGGGACTGGTGATCGTACCAGTAGCACTGTAAAGGTGGGAACTGTCTACAGTTAGGAG